TTCCAATTTGGGATTTTTTCAGATTTTGGAATATTTGCATTATACTCACTGGTTGAGCATCCCTAATCTGGAAATCTGAAATGCTCAAGTGAACATTTTCTTTGAGTGTCTTGTTGGCATTCAAGTAGTGTTGAATTTTGGAGCATTTGGGCTTTTGGATTTTCACATTAGGGATGCTCAACCTGTAGTATCTAAGTGATAGGGTTGTGCTGAAGTATCAATAAAACCATGTCTATAAAGTCAGCGCACGGGCTGGGCGCAGTGGCACACGCCTGTAATCCCAGCACTTTGGGAGGCCAGAGCAGGAGGATCACTCGAGCCCTGGAGTTTGAGTTCAGCCTGGTCAACATAGTGAAACCCCCATCTCTACAAAAACACTTAAAAATAACTGGGCATGGTGGCCCACACTTGTCCCCACTACTGAGGAGGCTGAGGTGGAAGGATCTCTTGAGCCCAGGAGTTAGAGTTACAGTTAACTGTGATTGCACCACTGCAATCCAGCCTATGAGACAGAGTGAGAGCCTATCTCTTAAATAAATAAATACATACATACATACATACATACATAAATAGTGCCCAGCGCATAGAAATAAATGTTAACGCTTACCAGCATTTTTATTATTGTTATTATTGATCAGATAACTATTATTTTCGAACTCCTTCCTCACTTAGCCTCCAGAATCTCCCACCCCTCCTATGGCAGCCCTGCCAGGGTGTCCTGGGAAGAACTAACGGCTCTCTCTGCCGTGCCCTATTTGGACACAGGATTTGTAGACTTCGTTCCCTCATTTCCACCTCTAAACCATATTGACACCCCTGCAGCAGCTATGATATGAAATCCTTTTCTGTTCAGCCACCAGCTCTTGCCAGCACTGAGAGACTCAACAGGAACCCCCTTCCATTTCTTTCCTCAAGCGATCCCTTTTCCTCTCAGGGTCTCTGTGGCCCATTGCTCTGGGGACTCAGTCTTTTCATGTTATCATCATCAATAAGAAGTTCCGACTAATAAACTAATTCATACTATGGAGTTCATGTCATTTCAGCTTTTAAAAATAACATACAAGTGGGCGTGGTGGCTCATACCTGTAATTCCGGAACTTCAGGAGGTCGAGGGGGGAGAACTGCTTGAGCACAGGTGCTCGAGACCAACCTGGGCAACACAGGGAGACCCCGTCTCAATAAACTAAATAAATAAATAGCACACAGAGAAGGCAACTCTTAACCCAAAGGAATGTCTCATTCCTTGTGGGATTTTATGCACTTTGAAGGAGATTCTGGAGGTGGGGCTCTCCCTGGTTGCCTCAGGGCTATTTTTTTTTTTTTTTTTTGAGACAGAGTTTCGCTCTTGTTGTCCAGGCTGGAGTGCAATGGCGCAATCTCACGATCTCGGCTCACCGCAACCTCTGCCTCCTGGGTTCAAGCAATTCTCCTACCTCGGCCTCCCGAGTAGCTGGGATTACAAGCATGCGCCACCATGCCTGGCTAATTTTGTGTGTGTGTGTGTTTTTTTTTTTTTTTTAGTAGAGACAGGGTTTCACCATGTTGCCCAGGCTGGTCTTGAACTCCTGACCTCACGTGATCCTGCCTCGGGGTCCCAAAGTGCTGGGATTACAGGCATGAGCTACTGCACCCGGTTCCCTCAGGGCTATCGTTAAGGCACCGTCTGCCCTGCTGGCCTGTGGACGGGGCCCCACTTGGTGTTTTCCTGTCTCTGTTCCGTTGCTTCCCGTTCGTGCACGCCTGAGCTGCACACTCCTGAGAGCAGCATCTCCCTGCTTAGCTCCCAGCACAGCTCTCAGGGATGCTGTGGACTTGGGAGGGGCATTCCCAAGTCAGAGGCACCTTCCATACACCCCGACCCCATGCATGCCCCAGGACTTGCAGCCTCTGCTTCCTTTCCCACGTGTAAGGAGAGGTGAGCTTCTCCCCTGGCCCTGGGAGGCAGCCCTTCCTGTGAGAGCCTGCCCTACCTCAGCCAAGGTCTTGGGTCCAGCCCTTTCCCACAAGGGAGAAAATAGCAAGAAAAACAGATGAGAGCTGATACCCTAAGCTGCAGGGTCTGCTGGGACTGGGTACTGGAGGAGCCCCAGGAAAGCTTTAACCCCGGGGGCTCCAGGCGGTCAGAAGGGTGAGGTGTGAGGAGAGAAGAGGGGAGGGAGCCACCTCTGTAGCTAGAAGTTGTCTCTTCCCTCTCTCCTGTCAGTGTCTAGACTGTCACTGTCTACCTCTCCTCTCTCCATAGGTCATCACTGCCCTGATGTCAGTCCCAGGCTAGATCCCTCAATCCATAGGCTGGACGGCAGCACCAGAGGTCACCTGGCCCACCCCACTGACTCTGGGCGGTGCCTTCCTTGGGCAAGGTCTAGAAGTTCTCCTTTTAAATCTAATAGGCAAGGGATATTTTCAACCTGCCAATCATCTGCATCTCAGCAACCCACAGTCAGCCTGGCACCCTGAAGGTGAGCTAGGCTTGGAGTCAGGAGACCCAGGCCAGTGGAGCTTCTAATCTGTGAAATGGGCATTCCCTTGTCTGCTGTGCTCACCACAGCAGCGGTTATGGGGATTACCCGAGATAGGACTGAGAAAGGGATTTGTACATGATAAATGTGGTATAAATAGCAGATGTGGTGGGTGGTAGGGGTAGGCAGGACACCTGGCCCCGTCCTCTCTGCAGCAGCAGCTGTCTTTCCCTGCTGAGGTTCACCTGGGGATCTGGCCCTGCTCTCCGCTGTGTGGCTGCTGAGATAGCATCTCTCAGCCTTCAGAATGACCAACGTTCCTTTGGTCTTTTCCTGTAGACTCACTCCTGGAACTTTTTCCACCATATCTGAGAGGACATGTGGGGAACGCTTTGAGATGGTCAGGAACAAGATGTGAGGAAGATGTTTAAATAGCCCTTAGGCTGTGTTTGCTGAGCATCCAGAGATACTGGAGTTTTCCAGGTGGCCATTTGTCTAGGAGCTTGGAGGGGTAAGAAGAGCTCAGGCAAAGGAATACTGGTCGGGTGTTTACAGAGTACTTGCACATGTAGTATCTCATTTGATCCTCCCCCTCTGAAGTAGGTCTCTTTTACAGAGGAGACATTGATCTAGCAAGTTGCAGACTGGCGGCCCAAGTTTGGGTCTTCTGACTCACAGTGTCTGCACCAGGCCTGGCCATTCTGCTGAGGATACAGAGGAGGGAAAGGGCTTCAATTACAGCAAGAGAGTGAGGATTGGATCTAAGAAAACTTCAGAGTCACAAGTGAACCAGTCACCTCTCAAGGCCCCTTGGTGGCGGTTTGGGGCACAAGAATCCTATGATCACAGAGTAGGAGAGGGGAACTGCTCCGAGGTGTTGGAGTCACCTAGTCCTCAATTTCTTCACTGGGACAATGAAGGGATAGAAAATGAGATTCCAAAGGTCTCTTCTAGTCCTTATCTTCTAGATGGGGTGGAGAGGGGGCATCTGGTTCCTCCCACTCTGCAAATTGTCTCCCTTCCTACTTCTATAGCCTTCACAGAGCAGGTGGGCTTTGATGGATGGTAAAGGATCTAGGAGAAGCGTTGTCTGGGGTGAGACAGACTTTAGGCATCATCACCATGCAGGAGAAAGCCGCAGATTCTGCATCCCTGGGGCAGAAGGAAACGGTCGGCAGCCTCTCCCTTCACACTCCTGGGTCTCAGAAGCTGTTTACATGCTCAGGAGGGCACTCCATCCATTTCAGAAGCTGCTTTGGAAAATAACAACTGGGCAAGCTGCTGCTGCTCAGCCGGCTCCTCAGCACAGAGCTGGCGAGACCCAGCCCTTGGCACTGTCTCCAAGGCCAGTGTGTAGGCAGAAGCCATGATGGCCGCTGGCTAGATTGGTTTAAAGGGAAGCAGGAACCCCTGAGATGTGAAAACGCCCAACCCTTGTGGCTCATGAGCAGCCTCATCATCCAGATGTTTCCATCTTCTTTGTGGGTCATGACATGAAAAAAGTTAGGCCCTTGACTCAACCTATTTCCTTTAAAGGACGTATCATGATCTGTAGTTGTCTTGTTTATTTTCTTGCTTTGGTGTTATCTGTCTCTTCACCCAAAATGTGAGATATGTAGAAGCAGGGATCTTTTATCTTATTCTCAGCACAGAGAGCAATGCCTAGCACAGAAAGCACTTCACAAATGCTTGCTGAATGAATGCATCCATGTATGCATGCGTAAATGCATGAATGAATGAGTGAAAGTATCCAGCATGTAGTAGATGCTCAGTGAATATCAGTTTTCTTTCCTGAGCATCATTTCCAGTTAGCTTGGGAGTGCAGGGCTGGTTCTTGAGATAAAGCCGTTGGGAGTTAAGTGCTGCACAGTGATTGGAAGGGGAAACAGGAGGTTAATGTAGAGGTGGGAGACGGGGTATGGCAGGGGAGTATGGGACAAGGCCAAGAGAAGGGGGGTTGTGTGAAAGATTTTTTGAAATGACAGTTGTGTCTGCTGGCCTAAGAGAAGGGATGGTTTGTTAACCACCTGGGTGTTTCGGTCAGTGTAGACACGTTTTAGGAAGCATGGAATGGCACTGCCACCTTCCATGTGGCCTTGGGCAGATCCTGTGACTACTTTGAACCTCAGTTTCCTCATCTGTCGATTGGGTAGCCCTCATTCTGCCGGTGACTTCCTACGCGACGAAGGCTGTCATGAAGCAAGGGTGAGATAACCAGTGGGGGCGTGCTGAGCGCATGGGAGGAATTTTTACTTTTCCTTGAAATTCCTAAAGGAGCTCCTCCGTGATTTTCTATTATTATTTTTGTCATTAATCAGGATTTCCTTTCTCTGCAGGAGAGTGAGCCAATGCATGGCAAGCACTAAATCTTAGATCCTGAAGACTCGGCCCTCAAGCAAAAGACATGCATCTCTCCACTCACTGGGCCCTGGATGGGGAGGGTGCTCCTCTTAGAGGCCCCTGGAGGCCAGGTGTGCCTTGGAGGGGCCTTTTGAGGCAGCTGGGAGGCAGATCCTGACACTCTGCCCTCTTCTTCCCCAGATACAAGATGGTGGTGACCCCCCGGAGGGCGGCGGTGGCCATCGCCGGCTGCTGGATCCTCTCCTTGGTGGTGGGGCTGACCCCTATGTTTGGCTGGAACAATCTGAGCGCAGTGGAGCGGGCCTGGGCAGCCAACGGCAGCATGGGGGAGCCCGTGATCAAGTGCGAGTTCGAGAAGGTCATCAGCATGGAGTACATGGTCTACTTCAACTTCTTTGTGTGGGTGCTGCCCCCGCTTCTCCTCATGGTCCTCATCTACCTGGAGGTCTTCTACCTAATCCGCAAGCAGCTCAGCAAGAAGGTATCGGCCTCCTCTGGCGACCCGCAGAAGTACTATGGGAAGGAACTGAAGATCGCCAAGTCGCTGGCCCTCATCCTCTTCCTCTTTGCTCTCAGCTGGCTGCCTTTGCACATCCTCAACTGCATCACCCTCTTCTGCCCGTCCTGCCACAAGCCCAGTATCCTCACCTACATTGCCATCTTCCTCACGCACGGCAACTCAGCCATGAACCCTATCGTCTACGCCTTCCGCATCCAGAAGTTCCGCGTCACCTTCCTTAAGATTTGGAATGACCATTTCCGCTGCCAGCCTGCACCCCCCATTGACGAGGATCTCCCAGAAGAGAGGCCTGATGACTAGACCCCACCTTCTGCTCCCACCAGCCCACATCCAGTGGGGTCTCAGTCCAGTCCTCACTTGCTCACTGTCCCGGGGGTCTCCCTGAGCCTGCCCCAGCTGGGTTGTGGGCCAGGGGCACGGGGGAGGCTCTGAAGAGATACCCACAGAGTGTGGTCCCTCCACTAGGAGTTAACTACCCTATACTTCTGGGCCCTGCAGGAGGCTTGGGAGGGCAGGGATCCTACAGAGGGACCGGGTGTCCAGAGGCAAGAGTGTCCTGAGCCTCCACCTGCCTGACCATCCCATGAGCAGTCCAGTGCTTCAGGGCTGGGCAGGTCCTGGGGAGGCCAAGACTGCAGAGGAGCCACCTGGGCTGGGAGAAGGTGCTTGGGCTTCTGCAGTGAGCCAGGGGAGTCTGCTTGTCTTAGATGTTGGTGGTGCAGCCCCAGGACCAAGCTTAAGGAGAGGAGAGCATCCCCTCTGAGACGGATGGAAGGAGAGAGGTCGAGGACGCACTGGCCTGCCTGTCTCTCCTGTTCTGTAGGAGAAGGTGGCCAGAGGCATCTAAGGGGCAGGAATCAAGGCGCCTCCATTCCCACCTCTGAGGACTCTGGGCCCCAGGCCATACCAGGTGCTAGGGTGCCTGCTCTCCTTGCTGTGGGTCAGCCCAGGATTGTACGTGGGAGGGGCAGAAAGGGTAGGTTCAGAAATCATTTCTGATATTTGCTGGAGTGCTGGCTCCATGCCCTGGGGAGTGAGCTTGGTGCGGTAGGTGCTGGCTTCAAACAGCCATGAGGTGGCAGCTCTGAGCCCTCCTTCTTGCCCTGAGTTTTCCAGGGAGGAGCCTGGAGTGTAATTACCTGTCATCTGGGCCACCAGCTCCACTGGCCCACCCGATGCTGGGCCTGAACTGTCCTAGGTGACCCCATCTCTGCTGCTTCTGGGCCTAATGGAGAGGAGAACCCTAGACATTCTGCCTGCCTGGGGACGGGGTGGACAAAGGAAAGGGTCTGTAAGGACTCAGTGTTGACTGTGGGTCCCCCTGGGGTGGGTTTAGCAGGCTGCAGCAGGCAGAGGAGAGCACCCCCCAAGAGTGTGTGGGAGAAGGCCTTGCTGTCATGTGAATCCCTCAATAACCCTAGTATTTGTCTGGGTTTTCAGGGACTTTGGAAGCTCTATTGCAGGTGTCTGGGGGTCTAGGACTTTAGGGATCTGGGGAAGGACCAACCCATGCCCTGCCAAGCCTGGAGCCCCTGTGTTGGGGGGGTGAGGCAGGGAGCCTGGAGCCTCGGTGGAGGGGAGGAAAGGCGGGGGAGCCTGGAGCCCCCATGGAGGGGAGGTAAGGCGGGGGAGCCTGGAGCCCTGGTGGAGGGGAGGTAAGGTGGGGGAGCCTGGAGCCCCCGTGTAGCGGGGGGCGAGGGGGGGGAGGGGAGGTGGTCACTGAGTTGACCTTCTGAACATGAGTGTCAACTCCAGGCCTTGCTTCCAGGCCCTTCCCTCTGTTGGAAAGGGGGTGTGCCCTGGCTCCCAAGGGAGGCCCATGTGACTAATAAAAAACTGTGAACCCTGTGGAGAGCACATTGCTGGGCACCCACCCCCACCACTGTTGAGGGCAACAAGACAGCTTCAGCAGAGAGGAAGCAATGGCGGGGGCCGGGAGGAGCTGTGAGAGTGGGCCTGTGGAGGCGTTCAAGGAAGGAAGGTTCCAGAGAGGGTGTGTCTGTTTCCATAGTTACACACTTGGGGTAGCAAACCCTGATCAGGAAGTGAGATCCTGAAAACTCACATGTCCAGAACCCCCACCCCCCGCCCCAGCCATGACATCCTGAGACCTCTCCCCCTGGCATCTTCCTCATGGTGACATATCTGGAGAACCCCTCATGGTGAAACATTCAGACACCCCCGCCTCCTGGTGACACAGCACCTCCCCCTAGATGATGACGCTCAGTGGCACAGAGGCCCCGCACTGTAACACCACGCATCTTTATTGGAGTGCTTCCCACCCAGTGCACAACTCCGCAGGGCACGCCAATCTCTGCGCCTTCCAGCACCCCTTGAGCCCAGATAGCATGGCCCGGGGCCTACCAGGCCCAGTCCTGAGTTCTGGACAACAGCCTCTGTGGGAGGGAGGCCAGCAGGTACCAGGGGCAGTTCCATCAGCCGTCGCTATGGAAGTGGGGGTCTTGGACATCTCTGGAGTTTGACTGTGGGCCTGGCGGACCTGACCCTTCAGGCCTGCAGCACCTGGAGGAGGACATGCTTCCTGAGCCCCTGGTGTGAGCAGAGCTTGGCTGCAGGCCAGAGAGGTGCAGAGAGGGGAGGGGGAGCAGCACCCTCTTTCTCACCAGGCCTCCCTCCCTCAGGACCAAGCCCAGGTCTGAACTCTGCCCACTGCAGTTCTAGATACTTCTGTACTTATGCAGAGCCTCAGAACCACCAGGGGAGGGAAGGCAGGGAAAGGTTGTTATCCCCAGTTTTCGGATGAGGAAATGTGTCCAGAGAGAACACCTTTGCTGAAGGTCACTCAGAGCTGGGAGCAGACTCTGGTCATGTGGCGGTCCACGGAATCAACCCCCTTCCGGACCACACCGGCATCGCCTGGCCCTGCAACGTCACTGCGAGTCTCTGGACATGCGTGCTAGTTGCCTGTGTCCTCAAGTTTATACCCAGAGCTGACCACCACCTTCCCTTTTCACTCTCACCCCCTGCTCCCGGCCTCCTCTCTGCTTCCGTGCCACCCGCAGAGGTGACAGAGGGGGTGGGTCAGGCCATTTACCTTGCTCCTCATCACAGCCTCCTCCTGTGGCTCTTCAGTGCGTGGCTGAGGCTGGAAGAAAGGCTGCAGTTAGAGTTTGGGGGAAGTGGCGGGGAACTGACAAGGTTCATGGTTATACACCCTCTTCTACACCTGTCCACCCTCCCGCTTGGAAAGTAATCGGCACAGCCTGACCTCAATCTTACTACCCCTTCTCTTCTGCCTTGATTTTAAGCTCTCTGCTGCCTCTAGTTCAGCTCCAGAGAGGTGCTTACTCCTGTTCTCCCATCCTCAAACTCTCACCTTTGACCTCCAGCCGGCAGTCCACAGATGCCTCCCCCAGCACGTTGATGGCCTTGCAGGTGTAGACCCCAGAATCAAAGGGGCTGGGTTTCCGGATCTCTAGGGTGCAGACGCCTTGCTCAGAGAGGGCGCGGTATTTGGGGTTGCCCTGGATCTCCATCTTGTTTTTCATCCAGATGATCTTGGGCTGGGAGGCATGGTCAGAAGAGAGCTGAGGAGGTGTGGACTGGAGCGGGGCACTCAAAGGCTATCCCCAGGCTTAGGTGTGGATGCCTGGAGGATTCCTCAGCCCTGCTGTCACCATCTGCCCCCACCAGCCCAGGGCACAGCAGGGCCTGGACCCTCACCTTGGGTGAAGCTCGGACACTGCAGAACAGCTGGGTGCTGTAGCCAGGGGTGGAGGTGTGGTCAGCCAGGGGCTGGGTGAATGAAGGGGCTTCTGAGAAGTCTCGCTCAACAAACCCTTTAGGTTTGGCAGCAATATCTGGGTTCAGGGGAGAAAGTCGGGTGAATCTGAGCTTACAGGAGTGAAGGAGACCTGTTAGGACTGACTGTGATCCACGATCTATGGATAGCAAGTCATGGCTTATTTGCGGGAACTTGGACAATCTCAGAGAGGCAGAGAGAGCTGAGACTGTAGCTGGGTGGGTCAGGGTGGAGAGCAGAGAAGAGAAGGTGGAAAAACCAGAGATGAGAGCATCTTGGCAGAAGGTGGAGGCTAGTAACTCAGAGATGCCATATTTCCTTTGTGTTTGTCATTGGAGACTTGACTGGCTTTCCTTTTCTAAACAAAAATTTCTTCCTAATTCTGTGCAGTTCAGGCTAGTGTTAAAAAAAGTTAGCCTTCTGGAACCCACACAGACTGTGGGTCGGAGAGGGCCTCGGGGCACACAAGGGACAGGGAAAAGGGCCCAGGGTTTAACATTTGACGCAAGAGGGTCAGGTGCCTGTGTGGAGACAGTAAATACTCCTATCTCTCTTGTCCATCTATGTGGTGTGTATTAGGGTTGGGAGGCTTGTTTTTAGCAAACTCACCCTTTTTAGCACACTACCCATCCATGCACAGGTCACCCTTTAGATTCCCTTCGGACACTCTCTGCCTGAAACTTGGCAGATGTACACACTTCTCTGGAATAAGTACACAGCCTCCAAAGGGGCATCTTTCATTTGTGTGGATTTGCTCTGATGTGTTTGTTAAAATCAACCAGCCACATCCACTACTTTACAGCCATTCTGTGCGTGTGTATGCATAGCTGTGGAGTGAGGGGACAGCACGTGTTCCAGGGGCAGACACCCAGGAGAAGCCCAGAGAGAGGGGTGCAGAGATGCCGAGGAAGAGGCAGGGACAGGGAGAGAGTTAGCACAGCCAGCTCTGGGCCCAAACCCACCTGCCTTCTGGATGTGGGCGAGCTCCTTGGTGACGGTGGCTGAGGCGCTGAGTCCACACAGGTTTTCTGAGAAGACCCGGAAGGAGTACGAGTTGCCGATGATGAGGTCAGAGATGGTGCAGGTGGTTGGGTGGTAGCGCTCCAGCACTGTGAACCATTGCTGCAGGGCCCTGGGCGTCACCCTCATTTCTCACCCCTGTCCTTGCCCTCCCTGCTTACCCTGGAGCCCTCTCCTCACAGGAACTCATTCCATGCCCCCAACCCTGGGATGCTGAACCATCCAGCTTTGGACCTCAGGGACATTGAATTGGAAGAAGGGCCCCCTGGGTCACTCAGGTGACCTCTGAAGGGTCCTCAGAGAATCCTAGAGCCTTCGTGTGCAAAGTGTGGCCCACAGATGTGCAACTTCAGCATCACCTGGAAACTTCTTAGAAATGCAGGCCCTCAGCCCCCACCCTGGACCTACTGAGTCACACTCTGCCTCTTAGCAAGCTCCCCAGGTGACTCATGTGGACATTAAGATTTGAGAAGTGTGGCTCCAGAGCTTGAAAGGCTTCAGATAGCCCGGGCCAGCCCTCCTCACAGTCTTCAGGAGGCATCTGAGGTCCAGAGAGGAAAAGTCTTGTTAAGGGCCTCCTAGGGAGTCAGGTTAGCAGTGGGCAGACCAGAACTGGATCCCTAGACTCGGTCCCTAGACTCAGTGGGATGGGCCTTCTCCACCACCTTGACCACTTCGTACCCCGACCCCACTCTGCCTCAGCCAGCCTCACCCCTGTCTTTTTGTCTGCCTTCTGCACCGTGTAGCCCAGGAGCTCTGTGTTGCCTGTGTCCTGGGGTGGCGTCCACTGAAGAGCAGCGTTGCAGCCCCAGACGTCCAGGAGCCGGATGCTGCTGGGAGGTCCAGGTTTCTCTGTAGGCCCAGAGTGTGAGGGGAAGTGAGCGTGAGGGCCAGGCTGGCCACAAAGCCCCTACATCCAAGATTTGGCTCCTGCCACACTCCCTTGGCCTGCTCCCATCAGCCGTCAGCTCTGGGATAGGAGGTCGGGGGCTCCAGGTCCCCCTTGAGGCAGCACTGTTCCCCTGGCTCCATACCAATCACCAGGATGTCAATGGCTGCCTTGGCCTCCAGGCCTTCCACGTGCACGGTGAGCTCGTAGCGGCCCGAGTCGGAGCGCTGGGCCGAGCGAATGAAGAGGATGGAGTCCTGGTCCCCGGTGCGCACGCTCACCCGCTGGCTGTCCAGGGCATGGCCGTTGTGGGTCCATGTGGCCTGAGGCTTAGGCTTCCCCTGGCAGGGAGGAGCCCCCAGGGTGAGTGTAGGGAGGTGCCAGCATCCCCACACCCCCTGAACTCCAGGAGTCTCGAGCTGTTCTCGGGGAAGCCTGTCCCTTTGGGCCTTCTCAGGAGGGGCAGCAGAGGCTGGAGCCACAGGGGCTGCCCTGAGCCACATCCTCCAGGTGTCCAGCCCGCTCTGGGGCCCACCTGCCCATCCCCAGGCTGAGAATCACCAATGAGTCATGTACATGATTGTGGGAGGATGAGGCCGTCTCACTGGGTCTCAGCCCAACCCTTGGAGATCCTGCCATTTCCCAGGCTCCCCTTAAATGGGGGCCCTGGTTCCCACCCAGCCTCTTACCCTTGGTGGGGGTAATACCCACCTGGAAGGGGATTTGCAGGTTGACCGTCTCTCCCACCTGGCGGATGTAGGTCTGACGGAGGTGGCGGGGGACACGGATCTTGGGGTCCTCTGGATCAAAGCAAGAGTCTGGGCTTAGCAGTGCAGTGGGGTGGCTGATTGGGGTTTCTGAGGTGGGGCAGGGGATAGCTGGTGAGGGATGCTGGCTGGGAGGATGGTCCTGCGTGTGCCTGGCTGCCGTGGGGTCCCTCCTTGCAGGAAGGGTGAAACTTTCACTCCTGAGGTCTAGGGGCCCACGTCCCTTAAGGGAGCAGGAGGTTTCAGGAGGTCAGCGCCTCCACGGTGTGAACTGGTAAGCATCCTGGGCACTCCCTTGGCGCCTCGACTCTGCCAGGATGGGATTTGCCTTGCAGCCCAGGCATTCCCAAGCACCAGATGGGCCCCAGCTGACTCTCTGTCTCCCCCTGCTGGGGAGCAGGTGCTGCAC